AAAAAAAAAAAAAAAAAGCCCCATCTGTGAACACTTGTGCGCATGCAGGGCTCTGAGTTACTGATCACAGTACGAGGATGTGCAACAGCCTTGCTGAACCTTCAGACAAAGCACCCATTGATTTTACTGAAGGCTAATTTCATGACAAAAATTACAATAACGGGCTGAGCCTTGGACAAAGCACCCTAGACAACCTCTGGTGCATTTTTAAATAGTATTTTCTATTTTTCAGTTTCAACTTAGCTTGTTTACAAATTTAAAAGTAAATGTTACTAGACAAAATATAAACCCAAACAAATGAAGCCCATTTTGACTCATAGCGACCCTACAGGCAGAGTACATCTGTTTCTGAAGATTTCCGAGACTATAAATCTTTACAGGATCAGATAGCGTCATCTTTCTCCCAAGGTGCGGTTGGTAGATTTGAACTGTTGACCTTGTGGTCCAATGCTGTGCCACCCACCATGCTCCCAGGGCTCCCTGACAAAATACATGCACTGAGAAATGACATCTTTACAGTTAGAGAATAACTGTGATTTAAAGTCCACATTTATGCTAAGAAGAACAGGTTTACATAGGAAGTCATGTTCTTAAATTGTAAAGAGAAAGGATGCTGATAACCCCAGATACCTGTATTACATATTTTCAGGGGTGAGATAATTTATACAGATTATTAAAAGTGGATTTTGTACCAAATGACTGAGTAGTCTTCTTCAAGCAATTCATACACCTATCTGAAAGGAAACTGAACTGCTTCCATAATGTTACCATAGTAACTTTGATCCAGAAGCTCTTAGAGAGCGCATGAACTTGTTCAGTTACTGTGACCTAACTTGGAAAGAATGATAAATTATAGCATTTCAAGTGTCTTACATTATCATAGGAAAAATCATTTCATTAAGGAAACCACAGTAAAATTCTATTTCTTAGAACAGTATTTAAGGATCTGGAGACATTGGTAAATTACCAGAATACTATTGTCAATTTTTATAAAAGGTCTTTGACACTGATGATTATGGTATAATAGTTACATAATGCCTTACAGATTATATATGTCACATCAGTTATAGACAATTCTAGAGATGATAAGATAATCTTTTGAAGTAGTTCAAAGAGAGTCCCACAGGAACCTCTTTTGAAATCACTGATTTCAACTTACTAAAGAATATGGGTGTACAATGTAAGTAGAAATACTTTCTACTATTCATATGCAGATGAATTTCATTCTAGCTCAGAAACATTGGAAAACTGACATAGCACGTGGTTTCAAGTGATTAAATGTTAGTGATACCATCTTAGAAAAACAAGATGGCTTTCAACAAGTGACAGTTGGTGTCTCATGTCAAAAATGGACAGTGGTGTGTACAGAAATCAAATTACATGGTAAAAATTCCTATTACTGTTGCAGAATAGACTGTTTCTTCCCACCAAGTCACTGATGTTTCTGGGACTGTAGTGTTCACTATGACTTTCAAGGGAGTGCTTTCTCTCAGCACTCACACTGAGAAGCCTTGGAAATGAGCTGAAACCCTGTTCTCAAGTGTGTTAGGAGCTCAGCTTACTTCACTTGCATTCATCAGAAACCATTCATCAGTCTCAGTGCTCCTGTCTATCTAAAGCTGGGTATGTGGCATATTAGAGTCAAATGCTGAACTGGATCTAAAGACTTTGTGTATTTCTGTTAGTACTGGGATGGATACTTTCTATTAAAGGTTCCTTTTATTTTGAAAGTTTATAACTTCCTTTCAAACCCATTGCCATGGAGTCCATTTTGAGTCAGAGCAACCCTATATTAGCGTTTCCAAGGCTATGATTTCTTACGGGAGCAGAAATCTCATCTTTCTCCCACCTGATGGCTGGTGGATTTGAACTGCCAGTCAACCTTGTGGTTAGCAGTCCAGTGCTTACCCTACAGCGCCACACCAGGACTTCTCCTGACATGTATAAAATATAATTAAGCCTCAGAGGATGTGGCTTTGTTTGCTAGTGCTGCTATAATAGACATACTAGAAGTGGGCGGCATTAAAGGAGGGGAAGTTATTTCCTCATAGTTCAGAAGTCTGAATTCAGGGCACCAGCTTGAGTGGAAGGCGCTTTCTGTTGGCTCCGGGGGAAGATCCTCGTCTCTTCCAGCAGTCTGCCATTCCTTCACAATCTTCAGGTGCCACTTACCTTCCCCTGCCTGGGCTACTGTATCTCTGTGTCTATGATGCTTCTTAAAACTTAGAAGTGGTTAGATTTAGGACACATCAACTGCCCAAGCACACTGATACCACCTCATTAACATCAGAAAGATAACCCTGTCTTCAAATGGGATCCAACCATAGGTTTAGGGGTTAGGTTTCTAGCACATATTTTGAGGAAACGCAGTTCAGTCCAGAACAGCATGCGTGTGAGGTTCTTTAATGTAACTTTATTTGTGCGATGTTCTTAAGGTCCGAGATTGGCTTTACCTTTATGTCACTCAGATCATTCATAGCTTAGCAGGTACAGCAGGCTCTTGCATAATGAGCAAGTGAAGTAAAAGATGGACACATCTTCAGCTCTCTGGACATTGCAGAAGTGAACATGGAGAACATGCAGCTCTGATGCCCTGGCTTCTGCGACTCATATTTTACACCCTCAGCACTGCGGCCTTACCGCTCTTCATGATACTAACTAAAATGGAGCATCGGCAAATGTCTAAATGTACTGCACAGTGCTGTGGTGATGTGGATAACCTCACTTCTGCATATGGTTCTTTGCTCTCTAGACAATCTGGCTGGTAATAGCTTTGGATCTCTTTAGTTTAATCTCAGCCACAAGGCCGATGGCCTGTGGGTGTCCCTGTGCCTACCTGTTATCAGTTGGAAGAGGCCCAAAGACACTTTGGCCTTGCTAGGCCTATTGGTTCACCTTGAATGTTACTTGTTTGCTCATAAGTAATGCTTATCTAGTCAAGAGAAAAAAGGAGGAAGAAACTGAAAGTGCTGTTTTACTCTTGGTTACATTGTTCATAGCCAAAATCCAAAAACTCCTTGTTGTTGAGTCAAATGCGAGCCACAGAGACACTCCAAGGCAGACAGAACAGGATTGCCCCATACGGTTTCCTAGGCTGTAAGCTTGATGGAACTTTGGATTACTGGAAAAATGAAATGTTTATTGTGAGAATTATAACAATCTCTATTTAAAATATCCTACTGATTAAGAATATAATTTAATTGCTAAAGGTGAATCATACTATCCTTCTCAATATTAATATGAACATTTTACATACATTACAAAATAATCATACAATGATATATTTCATTATTATGGAGATTCACTAGCATTGAAACCCATATAAAATCTTGATGCAATGATTATATGTGAACAACAAAATGATCATTTTGAGCCCCAAATAGGTATCTAATTAAATTACACTACTTTTTTTTTTCTTTAAAGTTAAAAAATGATAATAAAAAACTACCAGGAATTTCCAGGCACATACAGTGTGCCACACCCAACAAACACTGCAAAAGTAAATGGTACTGTATTTTTAGTTAATTCAGACTAATCATTTTCAGGCCAACCCTCTAATATATATGTAAATTGGAAGAACAGAGAGGAAATGACTTTCCTAGTTAATGAGTACTCACGCTTATGAAAAGTTGAACTGGCCTTCAGGTACACAAACATTGTCTATAGAAATGGAAGTCTTCTTTAAGCTATCAGACTGTGGACACTGATGCTTGTCACCACTAACTCATGAAGTTTTGGTCTGCTTATTGATAGAATTTCCTTACATTTGTCTGTTCTCCAAGCAGCGGTACCTGAGTGTGTCAGAATCACTGGTTGTTGTTGTCAAGCACCATCAAGTTGGTTCTGACTCATAGCAACCCTATATAACATTTCTGGGAACGGGTGGTGTGTTTGAACTGCCGACCTTGCAGTTGTTGTTGTCCTTATTGTCCAGTGCTTATCCTATAGCACCACACCAGAATCACTAGCATGCTTGTTAAAAACGCAGAGTACTAAGTTATAGTCCAGACCCACTGATTCAGGAAGGTGCGTTTAAAGAAGTACTGCAGGTGCTTCTTGTGTCCCTGAGTTAGAATGAAATCATGGCACCTGTACAAGTGAGGGTTTCCTTTCATTTACGGTTTCCTAACAGTCACAGCTGAAAACCCTTGCCAAGGAAAATGGCTACTATGAACATGTAACCTTACATTCAAAACAATTAGCAAACACTCTTGTCTTTCATATTCCTAAAACTATGTAAGTAGAAACTTAGAAATACTGAACTGAACACACATGACTTAAAGCACTACTTAGGAGAAGATGCTCTTTAAAAACAAAAGTTTCCCTTTTAGAAGACTCTGAATTATCTAGAAAGTTGCACTTGCATAAGAAATCCAGCTTTTCTTTAAACAAAGTACACATTTTAATTTTCTTCACAAATTACCACAACAGTGAGCAAAAGAAAAAAAAAGTCTTACTTGTATTTGGGAGAGAAGAAATTAGTACCAACAGTTAGGGTCAAGAATCAAACTCAATTTGCTTCCAAGACTTGGAAGAACTTCTTTTGTACTGTTCAAGTTCCTAGAACAAAAACATTATTTAAAATAATCAACATTACAAATTAACATAGGCACTTTAAAACTGCCTTAGCATCTTTAGGTCCTATATAGCATAATCGTTCTAAAAGGTCTCTTGACAATTATTTTGTAAATGATTATACTTAAGAGTTACATTCTAGAAATTCCATCTTTAGAGTTTCTGCGTGGTCTAAGCAGATACATTTATTAACACTTCAGACAAAATAATACACTATCTAATCCTCTGCCAATGAGTCAGTTCCAACTCAAAATGACCCTGTATAGGGTTTCTGAGACTACATTTTTAAGGGAGCAGACAACCCCATTTTTCTCCTGTGGAGCACTGGTAGCGTAGTGGTTACGAATCGGGCTGCAAACCTTAAGGTCAGTGGTTCGAAACTACCAGCCGCTCCGCGGGAGAAAGATGAGGCTTTCTACTCCCGTAAAGATTTACACCTTCGGAAACCCTGTACAGGGTCGCTATGGGTCGGACCCGACTCGATGGCACTTAACAACAACAACAACAACAGAGCAACTGGTGGGTTTGAACCATCAGCCTTGGGGTTAGCAGTCAAACACTTAACCCACAGCAGTACCAAGGCTCCTAATATACTATATGTTGTTGTTGTGAGATGTATATAGTAGGTTTTCCATGATGGTAAATCTGTAAGGGAGCAAAAAGCCTCATCTTTCTCCTCTGGAATGGCTGGTGGATTTGAACTGCCGACCTTGTGGTTAGCAGAGCAGTGCTTACCCTACAGCTCCATATGCAGTCTTCCAACTAACAGAGTACCTGTCATACTAGCTCTTCAAGTCCACCAGCTCTTAAGTATTTTTGTTGTTTTTTTTTTAAGTTTTTTATTGTGGATTGAATGAAAGTTTACATATACCTTGTTTAATTACATTGATTATAATACCCTCCATATACCATCAGTTAACAGTATTTCTCTCTATCCACTTTAGCTTTTTAAACAAACAAACAAACAAACAAAAACACCACTCAGGCATGTATAATAATTTACATCTACAAAGGGCACATTCTGCAAGCCTGCTCCTGGCCACCAGCTCTTAGTCCCTCTCTTCTTAGTCCATGAATCTAGAGTCCTCAGCTGCACCCCCTCT